CTCTATTAGTTGGTGTATTATAACGCAGAAGTCCTGGCATGGCACTGTGGGATAAAGTAATGGACTGCAGGGTGGGTTTGAACCACAAGATTGGATTGGTGGTTCAAACTCATCAGCCACTCCTTGAAAACCCTACACAGGGTCTCTATGAGTCAGAATGGACTCGATGACACTTAACATTACAACATTGATAGAAGTGAGCTTGATCTTTTTAGTTTTTTAAATCATAGACTTAACTATATCTTTTTAGATTCTCAATATGAAGAATAAAGACAAACCCAATTGAAAATTACTTATTTAAAAATTTATGCAATACATAACATCTACTTCACAAGAGATGTTTCATGAATTAGATGAATTAACTTAAGACTTTGAAGATAGTACCTGCCCTCTAACAGTACTCCTTAAGTGTCAGGCTGTCCCCTTTCCCTGTGGACTGGGTCATGGTAAATCTCCAGTATTCAAGCAGTGTGGCACCGAATGCAAGATAAATGCTATCTGCTTCCTGGGTTTTGGAAGTGCACAGTCCAGAGAGTAAATAAAGTATGAACATTTTTAAAGAAGGCATTAATATTCTCAATGATATTGACTATAAAAGTACATGTTTTACAATGACAAAAGGTGCAAAGTAAAGTATCCTAGCATACACACCCATACCTTAACACACTTTCTGTATTTCATGGAATGTATGGGATAAGTGTGAGGAATAGTCTTACATTTATAATGGTGGCTTTGAGAACTCTAAAATAACAGGGACGAGATAGTACACTCCTGGCAATTATAAATCATGATTAGAATTTTAAAACATGCCTGTGTTTTCCTATTTAAGCAAGCCAGGAATATTTGATCACATTGCAATTATATTTCGTGTGCTTTGGAGTATAGGTTAATATTCTTGAAAAACTAGTTTACAGAGGAAAAAGTACATGTTTTGTTCTGTTGCCATTTATGTATAACAAGCAAGGAGTTATTTTAGGGTAAGTATTCTGCTTCATGGATTCCTGGTGTGGCACTGTATGTTAGTGCATCAGACTGCGAAGTTGTTTGAACTGCCCTTAGCAACAACAACATTCTGTATCATGGACTTCTGGTGTGGCCCTGTGGGTTAATGCACTGACCTGTAAGGTCAGTTTGAACCACAAGGTTGGTGATTGGAGCTCACCAATTGCTCCTTAGAAACGCTATACAGGGTTGCTATGGGTCGGAATCGACTTGACAGCACTTAACAACATTCTGTATCATGGTACAAAAATAACATGTAAGCATTATCTGTCACCTGCCAGGCACTGTTCTATGCACTTTATGCCCAGTAATGAGTTTAATCCTTGCAGTGCCCTGCAGAAAGGAACTGTTAACCTCCTTTTACTGATGAGTAAACAGACACACGGATGGTAATGGACTGTAAGTTATTGTGGAGTTGATTCTGACTCGGGATGACACTGTGTTCAGAGTAGAACAAGGCTGTGACATTTTGGAAGCAGATTACCAGGTCTATCTTCCAAGGTGCCTCTGGGTCGGTTCAAACTGCTAACCTTTCAGCAAACAGTAAAGCTCTAAACTGTTTCCCGTGCTCAGGAACTCCTTGGTAACTGATTTCTGTGAAGTGCTGTTGAATCATAGTCCTAGTGACCCTGCATAGGGTTTCCAAGGAGCCACAGGTGGGTTTGAACTTATGACCTTGTGGTTCAAACTGAACTTACCATCCAGTGCTTATCCTACAGTGCCACACCAGGATTTCTGGTAATTGACTTTGTTGTTCTTAATGTCACTGAATCTAACTCAAAGCAACCCTGTATAGCAGTAGTAGGGGACCTCTGGCCTGAGGGTCATATAAGGCTCACAAAATCATTTAGTTTGGCCTGCCAAAGCAACCACAGGGCCAGCCATCCAAATATAGCTGAGTTATTTTTAAACTGATAATTTTGTATGACTTGCAAATGATGTTCTAAATATCCAACTGGCCCTTGGCAGAATAAAGGCTCCCCCCCTGCTGTATGGAGTCCTGGTATGGCACTATGAGTTCATGCACTGGACTGAAAGTTGATTTGAACTGCAAGGTTGGCAGTTCAAGCTCACCATCTGCTCCTCCGAAAGCCTATACAGGGTCACTATTGGTCGGCCCTGATTCGATGGCACTTAACAACAACAACAACAACAAACCTTGCTGTATAGGGTTTCCAAGGAGTGGCTAGTGGGTTTGAATTGCCAATCTTGCAGTTCGAACGGCTTTGCAGTCTGGTGCATTGATCCACAGCGCCACACCAAGACTCCCGGTTCTAAGAGGTGACAAATCTGGGGTTTGAACCCAGTGAACTCTTAGCCACTATGTTACACTGCCTCTGGGTTAGTGTGTGCGTGATGTGTGCTTATAGGTAGTTTGCTGAACCCACTTGATTGTTAGGACACAAGCCCACTTTTTAAAGTGTGACATTATAAACTAGAGTGATGTGCCTTAGCACAACATTTAAAAAATTTTGGAAGCTAACATCCTTTATCCTACATGCATTTCTGAAAGAGATTTTCCTTTTATGAATTAACATTTTGGGTTACAGGACTTTAAAAATCATGAGTAAAAGAGTTAACATTTAGTGCTTCAAAATGTCCCCCTTATTTTACTTTCTAATTGTGCCAAGTTTTCCCGAAAACATCAGAAGGTTTATTGCAGAAATAGATTTCATTGACCATTTTTCATAATGCAAAAGTTATAGTAAAAATATTTTAGAAAAGTAAAATCAACAGTGAATACTTAACTGTTCATTTGTTGTATATTAATTGTTTCAGAAAAACAAAAGCACATCTTGCTTGACTGTGGTCAAACATTTATAATTTACATTTGACTCAGACAAGTTAGTTCTTTAAACCAAAACCAAACCCACTACTATCAGGTTAGTGCATTCGATGAGAGAGAGCTATGTCAATTAGATGACTCTGTGTTACGGCTTTAGCATGCTGCTGCACAGGAAGACATGGACACATTCATTTGGGAAGGAGAAGAAAGGGTCAAAAGAAAGTCCTAGTCTCCATAAACCAAAAGACTCGTCATCAACTCAATTCCAACTCACAGCAACCCCACAGGACAGAGTAGAATGGCCCCATATGATTGCCAAAGCTGTAATTTTTACAGAAGCAGACTGCCAAATCTTCCTCCCACGGAACAGCTGGTGGGTTTGATCCATAGACTTTTTGGTTGGCAGTCAAGTATTTAACCAATGTGCTACCAGGGTTCCTCCATACACTGCAACAAATAAATACTAGATGGCTTCAAAAAGTTTGTGAAAAAATGGAATGAAAAGATAAAGGAATTTTTCCACAAACTTTTTGAAGCCCCCTCCTACAGGGTCGCTATGAGCCGGAAACGACTCCACAGCACATAACAACAACAACAACCTTTAGCTCAGCATGCAGTTTCTGTCAGCAGGACGTTTCCAGTATCAGCTGGATGTAGTTTGGTTTCAATCAATAGACATGGAAAAAAATGGCAGACTGATAGGAATTTGGACTTATTACCAAAGGAATTAATATACCTAAATTTTGATTTATATGTATAAACATATTACATTTAATGATTAGAGGCACTTTTTGGAAGTCTAATCAAGGATTGTAGGTGCACTACAGGTTGGGACGTGGTAATAGGAAATTATGCAATATCATAACTTTGTCTTCCTCTAGCAAGAAATATTGATGTTAGTAAAATATGCATGAAAATAATCTGCTCTGTAATGACATTTTAGAACCAAACTGCTGAGTGAAGCTTTTATGGCAAAAGTACATTTTAATAATTCCATCTAGTGTATTTCAGTTAAGACAACACTGTGTTTTCTTGTTTGCTGAAAAGAGTCAAGCAAATGCAAGACTGTTACTACCCAGCTAATGACAGCAGTTTCTTTAATATGTTCATGGCCACAAGAAAAGGTCAAAATGTGTGTATTTCAAGAAAAGGCCAAAATGTGTATATTTCCAAGAATAGTGGTCAAAATAGTCAGGATTCTACACTGACCTCAAAGACCCTCTCCTCAGCAAAAATGAAAGCAAATCAGAACAAAAGCAGAGACACTGAGGCTCAAGAGGCAGAAACTTCCTTTTTACACTACAGCCCGCAATTCAGATTTCCAAATATTTGTTTAAAGTGAACAGATGCCTCACTTAGTACTTTTACCCTAGTAAGATTCTATAAATGTGATTTCCCTCCTTGGAAGAGGATTCAGTTGCACTCTGCTTTGTTCATGGGAGTAAACAGGAAGTACTGCTCTGGGGAGGCAACCAGGAATCACAACTAGGTTTGACTTTAAGGAGACAGTATTGCCAAAGAGAGATTCAACTTTCCAGATGACTTCTAACGTTGTCAGAGACAGTAAATAATTGAGAGCTGACCTTTGGTCAAACCTTTTAGGGAAAATGAGCTAAATCAGCACGCACCACTGTCAAGTTTAAAGTGGCAGCTGGATTCAGCCAAGGAACATTCTCCACTAAGAGTCTTCTCAGCAGGCCAAAAACTGCTGGGGAAAATGCCTCATCAACGGAAAACTCTTTAATCTTGTGGCTCTGGCCTGACAATAATTTCAAACCATTTATGTAAAGTAAATGAAAATGTTATAGTAAAGAAAATGTGTCTAGAGACAGGCTTCCTGAACTTTGGGGTGAATTCTATATAACAAATACCTTATGTGAGGAGCTTACCAGCCTTATGGCCAGTTACTTCTAGGGACTAAAAGAGGCCAAAGTGTCCCAGCCCTTCTTGGTCTTCAGTGTTTCAAAATAGCTGCTTGGAGAAGCTTTACAAAGAAGTAATGATCACTCTGGGTTGTCATGCTGCCAAATAGTACACAACTTCCCTTTGAGATTCTGTTAGCCAGACATTTTTCCTTCTTGGTGTGATTTATAACATTTTACCTGGCTCTCCATCAGCTCTCTGGCTGGTGAGCAGTCTCTTGGACTCTAATGGAGAGGTCCCAGAAGATGCTGAAGATGGGTCTTGGGCATTAACCTACAACCAAAACTCCTCAGGAGTTGGCAAGCGGAAGTTGGGGAGGCAGGGCAGGTGCCTGTGGTTCCTGAATTTCCTCCTTTGTCAGTGCATAGCGTCTGGCTTTCCTAGGATCAGGCTCTGGTGTCTCCTCTGCCCACCTTCCCACACGGCGCACACCTTTAGCCACCTTGGGTGCATTTCTGCAAGGATTGTGATCATAGATAACCAGCTTCAGACTTGATAGGTGGGCCAGGCTGGGGAAGTACCGGATGTTGTTCCGGTCCACATCAATCACCTCCAGGAAGGGCATGTGAAGCAGCACAGGTGGGAAGTCGGTCAGCAGGTTCCCTGAGAGCCAGATGGTCCTGAGCTCCTGGAGACGCTGTAGCTGGCCTGGCAGCAACCGCAGAGCGTTAGAGCCAGCATGCAGCGTCTTGAGGAGGCTCAGCTCACAGACTACTTCTGGCAGCTGGGTCAGGCAGTTGGCCTCGATCCACAGAGTCTGGAGGTTCTGAAGCAAGCTTAACTCATTAGGGAGGTCACAGAGTTTGTTGTTTCCCAGGTAGAGGATGCAGAGCTGCTTCAAGGTACATACCACCTGGGGTAGAGTCTTGAAGTTGTTGAAATCTAAGGCCAGGATCTGCAGATTCTGCAGCTGCCCCAGCTCCGGAGGCAGGCTGTTGAGGTGATTGTCACTCAGGTAGAGCTTGACCAGCTCCCTGAAGGAGCACACATGGCCGGGGAAGCGGCGCAGCTGGTTCCCACTCAGATCCACCATCTTGTCCAGCGGCATCTCTCGGAGGTCGCCGACCACATAGTTCTGGCAGCGATCAGCAGGAATGAAGGCCACGAGGGCCCTGATGATGTTTCCCATATGGAGGCCTGAGACCTGGCAAGCCCAGTCAACCAACTTACAGACTGACTGGAGGCATGTCCTCCCCTCTCATTTTAACCTGAGGTTTGCGTGACAACAGACAGCCATCTCAACAGAGAAAAGTGCTCCTGATAGCAACTTGAGTGTCAAGTGACAGCCCCAACAGGCAGGGAGGAGTCCAGAAGCCAGATCTGATTCACATACTTGCCTTCAAGTGCCCAAGACCCAATCCTCTTTAGCTACATTTTTTCATCTCAAGCTGAAAATAGCTTCACTGCTTTTGCTGATAAAACACTGTGATATTACATAAAGGTGTAAAATAATAAAGTGAAAACCACCCCTAGTCCTATAATCCAGCGATCAATACTGTAAACATTTTTCTAAATGGTCAATTTGTTTAATTAATAAATATACATACTGTATTCGGGAGCCTTACTTCTTTGTATCATGGGATATCTCGATGTTAGGAGATAGCTACGTGATAATACTGCATAGTATTCCTACACAGTAAACCATTACATGTTTGTCTAAGTTGTTTTCAGTTTGTCTATTAAAAACAACCTTGTACACATATCTGAGAAGTTATTTACTAATTTCTTTAGGAAGTCTTTAGAAGTGTTACTGGGTCAAAGGTATGCCTTTTTCATTGATACTGTCACGTCTCCACTGCTGCTAGTCTGAACCAGTGCACACAGCCACCACCAGCAGCTGCAGGTGCCTCTTTCTTATTTCTTGGTTCTCACTAAGTCCTATCTGTCTACTCTTGAAAAATATGCCTTTGTCAAAAGACAAATAGAAAAGCAGAATAAAGAGTAGTGGAAAACTAGCCTTTCATGGCTTAAATAAACGACAATGTACTCTCAGAGCACATCTGTGTCAGATAGAGTTAACCGCCTTCAAAGATTTGGGCTTCCCTTCCATTGTGCCAAGTGCTGGCTGGGAAGCAGTTATCTACACTTTCTAGTCCCAGTCTGTGGACTCGAGGTGTCTTTGATTAAGTTCTGGCCTCTGGAATGTTGGCAGAATGATATGTCATTTCTAGATCTGGCTCATTCAAACAAACCTCTCACCCTTCTCCACACTCCCTTTCCCCATCTGCTGGCTGGATATGACACCCAGGATGACCTTAGAAGTCAAGTGTGTGGAAGCCACATGTTGAAGTTGGCAGGACTTCAGTTAACCTGGATCCTTGAAAAAGTGCTATAAGCAAAACCCTTCCTACACTCTAATTTTTTACTCTCTCCTTCTCTTTCCCATGAAATTGTTGTTAAGTGCCGTCGAGTCGGTTCCGACCCACAGAGGCTCTCTATAGGGTTTCCAGGGAGTGGATGATGAGTTTAAACCGTTGACCTTGCAGTTCAAACCAACCTTGTGGTCTAATGCTTATCCTACAGTGAGTGCCACAATGGTGGTGGTGGTGATGTGTCATGGAATCGGTTCTGACTTATAGCGACCCTGTACAGGGTTTCTGAGGCTGCAAATCTGTACTGGAGCAGAAAGCCTCATCTTTCTCCTGCGAAACAGCTGGTAGTTTCGAACTGCTGATCTTGAGGTTTGCAGCCTTATTTGTAACCACTATGCTACCAGAGCTTGTGCCACAATAGATTTAGGTAAACGAGAGAAAGAAAGCAAACACTTCAATTAGCTAAGCTATTGAGATTTTGAGGTTCAAGTGTTGTGTTGTTGTTGTTAAGTACTGTCGAGTTGGTTTGGATTCACAGTGACCCTGTCTGTATAGGGTTTTCAAGGAGTGCCTAGTAGGTTTGAACTACCAACTTTGTGGTTAACAATCCAGAGCTTATCCTACAGTGACACACCAGGACTTAATGCTCTCTGTTAAAAAGAAGAAAGTAAATCTACTTATCCTGATGTGGAAAGAAAGTGAGGGCAGGTAGGGAAGCAAGTTTAAGAACCATTTGTTATGATCCCATCTATGGGGTAAGTAAGAAAGTATTGCTATACAATCATAGAAACATTTATTAAACAAAATATCAAAATGTGAAGCTATTGTGTGTGTTTTTTTGTTTTTATTGTGAGGTTTACATGGAGAACATCAGCTTTACACTCATCCTATCGTATTTCATTTCATTGCAATGATTACAGTCCCCTCCATGCATCATCAAATAACCCCAAGAGGTACACCACACAGGCCTGCCCCCTGGCCACCAGCTCACAGCCCTTCTCCCTCCCTGAGTCCAGTGTCCCCCGCCGCTCCATCTGTCCAGCGGCATCTTGTCTCTGTATCCATCCCTGGCGTCACTGCCTCTCTGGGTAGGGTCCCGCCGTCCATTCTTCTCACTTGATGGTCCCAGAGATCTCCACTCCTTGGCTGCAAAATCAATCAATCTCATCCTTTTGTCAAAAAAATCTACCTCTATATTTCCTACCCTCAGAGTCTGTCCTGATGGCCATCATTCACTATTGTACCACAAGAGTCTTATCCCCATTTCCTTTCGCCAGCCTGGTCCCAACGGTTGGAAATCATTCA